CCACAACGCCTCGCTACCTTCCAGTTGTAGTTGTCTTTGTTGTTTGGCAGGCCCGGGCTGGATTCGAACCTGCCAGCTCTGGTGCATGTGGCTGGCGCCTTAGCTGCTTGAGCTACATGTAGGCGCTGAGCCAAGACTTCAGACTCTTATTATAGTACTTTTTTGTCATGACCCTGGATGGTTTTGGCCTGGAGACCCCCCACCCACCCCATGCCTCCCTTCTGGACTCTGTCCAACCCTGGGGAAGATGGGCTCTTCCTCAGATGTCCCCGATCCAGGACCTCTTCCATTCTCTTCCCTTCCCTTCTCTTCCCTTCCTTTCCGTTCCCTTTCCTTTCCTTTTCTTTTATTCTCTCTCTCCTTCCTTCCTTCCTTCCTTTTCTTTCTTTCTTTCTCACAGTGTCTCACTCTGTGCCCTGAGTTGATTGCTGTGGTGTCATAACTCACAGCAACCTCAAACTCTTGGGCTCAAGTGATTCCCTTACCTCAGCTTCCCTAGTAGCTGAGACTATAGGTGCCCACCACAACACCCAACTAGTTTTTCTATTTCTAGTAAAAACAGGGCCTTGCTTTTGCTGGTCTCAAACTCCTAAGCTCAAAGGATCCATTGCTCCCTCCACCCCCAAGAATGCTAGGATTATAGGCATGAGCCACCACACCTGGCCCAGGACCCCTTTTCCCAAACTCTACTCACCATGACCTCCTCCTGTCCCCTCAGGCTCTCTCCCCCTCATGCCAGCTCCTCCTCACAAAAAAGCCTATTCCAGTCACCTCCACCCAAAGGGAAACTTGCCTTGTCCAAAGCTCACCTGTGCTGCTGCTCAACTGTCCCTTCCTACTACCTCTTTCGACTGGGCCAGATTCCATGTCCTCACTCTGTCTCCTTCTAATTGGGTACCCCAGAAGGTATAGACTCTGCCCAAAATGGTGCCACTTTCTCTGGCTGCCTCTCAATCCTCCCCTTCTCTGGCTACTCCTGCAGGCCAGTGCTCCTCCCAGCACTGTCCTGAGCCCAGTCCCCTCTCACTCTTTGCTGTACCTGGAGAATGTGAACCACACTGCTGGTCAGGGACAACCAGACTTCCAAATCCTAGCCTATAGCTCCAGTCTCTCTGCCAGAAGATGGACCCAGGGTTTAAGTAGCCAGTCACTACTCCACCAGCAACAGCCTGTGGGTTAAGTGTGTAGACTCTGGAACCCAAATGCCTAGGTTTAAATCCTAGGCTCTGGGTAAGATACTTGAGTGCTCTAGGCCTCATTCTCCTTATCCATAAAATAAGGATTATGATACTATTTCATAGGACCTCTATAAGGCTTACAAAGGACTCACCTCAGTGCCTAGTCTATCCTGTCTCTCTGCAAACACCCTAGACAATGGATCTACCTGACCCTCCAAGCCTTGGGGTTGTTCTAGACTCTTTCATCTCCTTCCTCCTACACCCAGTAGGTCACCAAGTCCCAGAAGTCTCTGATGTTTTTTATCCCTGCCCCTTGCCCTGGCACATGCCCAGTGGAATCTCCTGGCTCACTGCCCTCTGTTCTTTCCCCATCCTGTGCCAGAGTGGCCATGGCACAGCTCTGCTTCAACTCCCTGTTCCAGGCCAGGTTAGGATCTAAGTGCCTCTGGCCCAGCTACTCCACGGTCACACCCCTGCCTGTGTTTCCTTCCTCATCCCTCCACACTTCCTGCCCACATTCGCTCCGCTTGGCTCCAGCCACAGTCCTGGAGCCTGCTCTCTCTGCCTCCCTGCCTTCATCCATGGTAATCCTTCTCCCCGAGTGCGATTATCCCCACTACTCAGTCCATCCCTGCTCCATACATGAAGCTCCAACAGGTTTAAGGTGTCTCCTGTTGGAAGCCTTTCTCTGCTTCTGCAGCCTAATATTGCATCTTTTCTGAGATCTCACCGTAGAATCTCAATTTGGGAAGACCAAGACCCCCTCAAGTGAAGGATCCAGGCCTTAAGTATATCTCCAGGGCCAACCTACCCCACTGTCCCCCACTCTGCACCTTTCACATATTAGGGCTCCCCAAAAGTATATGGGAATGAAGGAAGGTGCTTGGGCTGGGAGTGGTTTAGAAAGAGGAGGGTACCAAAAAGATCCTCAATGAGGGACATACTCTACCCCATGTTGAGCTCTATTACCCCAAACCCCAGAGACAGTTGTACTAGGAATAGAGTGGATTTGGGGTGATAGTGGGATGCAGGGAGTGAGACACGGAGAGTCAGAAGGGATGGGGAGCCAAATGGAGAGGAAGGGTGGGAGGAAGATGAACAGGAGGGCTGGAATAGGATGCAGGTTCGAGTCAAGGTGCAGGAAGGGGTGGGAAGGGCAGCAGGGTGGGGGAAGAGCCACACTTTCTGGGAAGTGGGAGTGGGTGGGGGAGGTGTGTACAGTGCATTGTGGAGGGAGGAATTGGCCTGCCGGTCAATGTGAGCTCATTTCCTCTCACCACCTCCTGCAGGGTCTGAGGGCATCAGGCTCTGGAAAAAGTGAGCCAGGGGCACCCCAGAGGCCACCACCCTCCTTTCCTCCCCCACAACCTCAGTTCAGTCTGGAATTCAGGTCCCACCCCTTCCCCTTTACAGAGATTAACACTTGTTATGGGAAGAAAGGACCCCTAAGTCAGGGTGGCAATAAGCCTTGGACCATTGGAGCTACAGGGCCGAAAGAGGCAGGAACAGAGACCTGGCTGAAGATTAAGCAATAAAATCCAGGCAGTGTGATGAATTATAGTTAGATAGCAGGAAGGACTTTCCAGAAATGGGGGATAATTCTGGATCATGATGAGGAAGGGAGAGGAGTTATTAACTGTCCCTCTGTCATTTATCATAAAAAAGAATCCCTTTCTATTGACTGCCAGGGGACTTAAAGTGTATGATTTTAAAACCAGTTAGTATCTCCTTCCTCAGGCTCACAAGAGTAGAGGAGGCCTACCTGATAGGTGTCTGGGCCACCACCCCCCACCCAGGCCCAGTGTTCCTTACCCTGATGAAGGCAAGGGGTGGGAGGCTTGGGCCTGATAAGCTCTCAAAAGTGGGGGTGGTAGTGGTGAAGCAAACAGGTTTGATGAGGTCTCCTCTCTATAGGGTGGGGGCGACTCCGGTAGGCAGAGGTGACCTTTCCATATTCACTGATTCCCCTTTCCAAGTCCTATTTCTATGTATCTGTGGCCTCTCCCTTTATGTCTGCACAGTCTGGGAAAAGGAATACAGTAGCCCCTTAAAACTGCAAGAAGGCAGGGGAAAGAGGTAAGCATAGGCGGTAGGAAATGAGAAGTAGGAAGAATGAGAGTTAGCAGAAAGAACTTTCCAGCAGAAATGACGGACAGAAGGACTGTCCCTGCCTGGACTGTCGGGGAATGGGCTGGAAGGGGCTTCTTGGGGACAGGGAAATAAGAAGCTGGCTTAGGACGATGTGATGTTTCTTTGGAACTAGCTCAGAGTGAAGCCAGCAAGGGTGGCTGTGGGGAGCTGGTGACTAGGGCTGTGCTGTCACTGTTGCCCACTGTCGTGGAGGTCTGTGGGCTGCTCCTGAAGCCTGAGCCACAGGACTGACTGGATAGAGTCCAAAGAGCTGGGGCTCCTGCCAGACTCTTTTCCAGCCTGATCCCCCTGCCTCTAAGGAAGGTTGAGCTGAGATTCTGCCTGGGACAGGGAGATTCCTTAGATTGAGGGGCAGCCCCCAGGCACCATATCTGCTTCTGTGTCTCAGCTTCTATGAGTCTGTACAGGAAAGGCTCCTAAGGCTTTTCTTTCACTGCCTCTCTTCCATCTGGGTCTCATCTTTGTTTCTGACTTCTCTACCGCTCTCTCTACTCTCTGTCTCGGCTCCGCCCCACTCATGCTTCCTGGGCCTCTGTCTCCGTTTCTGGCCGTCCCTGTCTGGCTGTGTTTCTCTTTGCTTTCTTCTCCCTCTCTTCTTCTCCCTGTGCTAGTTCTAGGTTCGGTGCCCTTGCCCTCTTTTCTGGGCCTGGATCACCATCTATCTGGGCTGGTCCCCTGGAGGACCGCACGAACTGTCTCCTAGGGAACTGCCCCTTCCTCAGGCTCTGTTCTGCCCTCCAGCTCTGCTGCCAGCACAAATCCTCAGCCCCATTATCACTGGGGCCCTTAGGAGAGGCCACCAGGGCTCCCGGACAGGAGCGGGAGTGAGGGGTGGAGGAAGGAGCAGGAGTGAAGGGGCGGGCCCGGAGGGGGGCACCCGCTCTTGGCCCCGCCCCAGCCCCGCCCCTCCCGGGTCCGGGCCGGCGCCCCCAGTAGTGCCCCGGCCGCAGAGCCATCTCTGCCGCCCGATGAATGGAGTCGCCTTCTGCCTGGTCGGGATCCCGCCCCACCCGGAGCCCCGGCCCCCCCAGGTGAGGGCGCTGGTCCAGGGGAGGGGGCGGAACCGGCGCTGCCGAGGAGCAGGCGGCCGGGCCTGGGTCGCTACACCCGAGTTCGCTGGGCACAGCTTGGGGTACACGGCGCGGGCACCACGGGCACCACTGCAGGGAACTTCGGCTGATGTCGGGCACAGGAGCGGGCCGGAGCGAGAATTGCTTGGGGCAGGGTGGCTGGAAGGAGGGAGGGAAGTAGGGGGCTTGGACGGGCACCGGGCTGCCAGGGCAGGGGGTGCCGACCAGGGTGGCCGTGCCAGCTCCCGATGGCCGGGTAGCGGGGGCGGGAGGCCGGTGCCTTTTGTCCGGGATTTTCAGGCGGGGCGCCTGCCGCCGTTTCCTCTGCCCGAGTTTTCGTTTTCCGTTGGCGAGGCCCCTGCACAGCTGGAGCGAGAGGGAGTGGGGGAGGGGGTTCCCAGAGCGGGACGTCCTCCGCCAAGGCGGCCTGACACCCCCTCCCTGCGCCACGCTAGCTGCCAGAAGGGTAGAACTTTGGGACAGGCTCTTCAAGGCACGAGTCCGCCGCTCCTCTTGGTCCTGGGAAAGAGAAACAGGCTCCGGACCCCTGGCCCGGCAGGCCTGGCTGCCCTCCCCGCTGCCCACTCCAGCAGGCTGTGGGTGGGTCTGGGCGCGGGGTGCCAGGGGCATTACTCAGCGCTGGGCTGCTTTGCTTGGGTTCTTTCATCTGCCAGCTGCTGAGGCTGGGGAGGGGCCAGCAAGGGCCTCCTAGCCCCCATCCTTCCACCAGAGCCATCCCCTGCCTCCTGCCTAGCTCTACCCAAGCGCCTAGCACACAGCCCCTGTATTCTAAGTAGAAGGTTGAACACTCTCAGACCAATAGTTTGCCTGAGTTTGGAAAAGAGGTTCCCTAAGGTCCAGGTTGGGGTCAAGGCAGAGGCTGAAGATCTGGGAACTCAGCTAAAAGACCTGGGGACTCTCCTCTCCAGCCCTTCTCCCAGCACTGGAGGTGAGATCTGCTACTTTGCAGACTCTTTCTGAGACTGATGTGTTTCTTTGGGGCTGAATGTGTTCAGTTCTCCCTCAATCTGCATTTCTCTCCCTGCTCTTTTCAGCCAAAGTGTGTTTCCTAATTGCAAACTTGAAATTCAGGATGGACAGGAGTCGGGGGTGGAGGTCATTAAACATGAGTCCCTTGGATTCAACCCCTCACCAACTACATATACTTCATCTCTATCCACTTACAATCTCCACCCCCACCCCTTGGCCCAGCTGGGGGTAGATAGCTTTTGATCCCACGTGGTTCTCCCCTTCTGCCAGGACAACTGAACTCCGTTCCCCGAAGTGGTGACTCTCACTGAGATGTTCTCATTGGCATGCGATTTGAATCTCGGTTATATAACCAGTCATTTTGCCTCCAAACACAGCCCACGGGCCCCTAGCCTCAGCTGCTTCTTCCCACTTGCCCATGTAAGTTGGGTCTACCCCAAGGTGGCTGGGAACTCCAACATCCTGAATTCAAGCCCTTCCCCTCTCCTTGGGAATGAGGAGAGCAATAAACCTTCTATAGTCAATGGTGGATTTGAGGGCTCAAAATCCCCCTGTGTGGGGGCAGGGTAGGTATTGGCATCCCATTTTACAGAGAGGCCCTGAGCCTACAGCCTACACAGTGACAGGAGACCAGAGTTCTAGTCTTGGCACTGTCACTGTGTAGGCTCAGACCCTTAGGGAATAAGATGAAGTCTGGGGAGGAGAGTTATTAGAAAGATGGCTTTGTGACACTCTGGGGGATGAGGAAGGCTTTCACGGATCCCAGCTCAAGCAGAGAGGTTCTAGACCTGGGGAATAGCCTTATGTATTTGTATTATGTGGGTGGGGCCTTTGCATTTCCCTCCTCAAGATGACCTTAAACTCATGTGGAAGGAGTGCAGCATTCTTGGTGTGGACAGGAGTGAGGATGAGTGCAGGAGTGGGCAGTGGATTGCTTCATCCTTCATTGCAGGAATGGTTAGAAGGACTTCTTGATGTGTAAAGTTAAAAGACAGACTACAAAGCAGAAGAATGGAATAAGTTGCAATGTGAGGATTGCAGTTAGATATTTGGTGGAACTTCCCAGGGAGAGGTCTGTGAGCTGCAGTGTCCCAGGCTGGCCTGGAACATCATCAAGTATTCTTCAGTATAGTGAGTCAGGTAGATTCCTGTGATGTTGGATTCTGATGTAGACATCTGGAGATATTCATTGGCCTGCAAATATATTCAAATGAGCATATACATTAGTGCCTGGGAAAAAAAAATGTGTTTTTACGGAAGAGGAGTCCCTTTAATTATATAGTTAATAAGTAACATATAAGTAGCAATTACTCTGTGTGAGGGTTTATATAAATTATCTCATTTAATCCTCACAATACCACCATGAAGTAGATACTGTTATTATCCCCATTTCACAGTTGAGGACACTGAGGCACAGAAAGCTAATCATTTGACCAAAATCACATTGCTGGTACGCTGCAGAGCCAGGGTAGGAATCCAGCAATCTGGCTCCAGAGTCCTTGCTCACTATCAAGCTTCTTAGGATCTGCTTTGTCCCACTGTCACCCTTCCTTGAATCAGGGTTCATCTTGCATGCAGCCCAAGATAAAAGTGAACTTCTCACTGGAATGGAGCTTGGTTACTTGTCTTTCTGGCTGGGACAGGGATGGAGAGCAGAAGCCTCAGGGTAATGAGGTCTCAAGTGTTCCCCAACTCCCTGTGGTTGGTGGGTGGGGAAGCAGTGCCCTCCTCTAATCTCCCCACCCTCACCCCAGCAGCCCATAGCACTTGGGCCAGGGCTCTGTTCATTGGTGGTTTCCTTCCAAAGGGGCATCAGCCCTGTTCTGTTGGCCACAGGGGTTCAAAGGTGAGATATTGGCTTGGTCAGGGATTTGGACAAAGCCGGGTTTTAATTATCTTGCTCTCTCACCCTCCCCCAGAGAGCCATGAATAGGGCCTGTGGGGAGCTGGTGCTGCTCTTCCCCCAGCACCCCCTACCCCTTCAAACAACTCCCCCTTTGATCCAGGGCCCCCTGTTTCTTGTGAAATTATGCCAGCTTGTCAGCAGGGCAGTGCCAGTCTGTACCAGGCAAGCATTCCCTCTTCCACTGCCTCAGTGGGACATCAGGCTGAAATGGCCATGGGGCTGGACTTTGGGGAGAGTTTAAAGCCCTGTGGGGTGGGGTATAGTCATCACCTGTCAGAATGGATCAGGATCAATGGGATCATCTTGTCCAACTCTCTCATGTGAAGACATGCCAGAGAATACTCAGGGTTCCTTAGCCTTGGTGGACAAGAACACAGGTTTTGGACCCCCAGGCTCTCAGGCCATGCCTTTCTCTCCATGGCTGGTTCTATTCTTGGTGACCCCCTCAGGGCAGGGTTCTTGGACTGGGCCCCGAGAAGGAGAGGGGAGGGAAGGGAGGAGTAGGGATAAGTGAACAATGTGTCCTGTTCATCTCTGTGTCCTCAGTGGCCAGCACAGTGCCTGGCACAGAGCAGCTGTCTATAAATGTTTGTGAAGTACGAACTGGGGAGCGGCTCCCCTCCCTGGCCTCCCAGGGCACCCCATGCCAGCTCTATCTCTGGCATTGTGATGGACAATCTACATTCTACATGTCAGTCTGCCTCACAAGACTAGAGTTATTTGAAAGCAAGAGAAATCATAATAGCAACTACTTCCATAGTACTTACCACCAGTAGGTACATTACTGTCATCCCATTTGACAGATGAAAAAACTAGCACAAGGAGATGACATGGCTTCCTAAGGTTACCCAGCAAGTAAGTGGCAGAGCTGAGGAGTTGACTATGATCTTAATCTCATCCCAAGGAGTCCCAGAGATGTCATGTTTGTCTTGGTATCTCCAGGGCCTGGCACACACCAAGAACTCAGAGTGTGTTTGTTGACTGACTGAACAAATTTATGAATGATGGAACAGTGTATGGAAAGCTCAAAGAATCCTGTAACCTAACCCTTTGCAAGTAGGTGGGGTTGGAAAAGCAGCCTGGTGGTGCCTCACTGTTATCCGCACCAACAGTGCTTGAGACAAACCTAGAGAGGAAGGGAAAGCTCACTTACTCATACCCTATCCCCTATTACCGCTGCCTCTGAGGCTGGCAGGGGCCACTGGGGCTCTCCTCTGGTCTTTATTTTATTTTATTTATTTTTTTGAGACAGAGCCTCAAGCTATCCCCCTGGGTAGAGTGCCGTGGCTTCACAGCTCACAGCAACCTCCAACTCCTGGGCTCAACGAGTCTCCTGCCTTAGCCTCCCAAGTAGCTGGGACCACAGGCGCCCAC